TTTTTTTTTTTTTTTTTTGTATCCTTATTTATCCACTAGGTCAGTCTAATTGGTTCATTGCACTTAGTTTTGTTGTTTTGTTGTAGTAGCTATGTCTATTCATCCTCTTTTTCCAAAGAGTTCATAATTTGATGTTGAACCCATTTCATATGATGGTTTCTATGTTACATACCTCTTTGTTAAGCAAGCCAATAAGAAATACCTTTATCTACGTGATATCGTTGATGCTTATGATCTCATTTTGTACCTGTTTATCCTCAGGCCTCTAGTGTAGTGGTAGGTTGTGTTACTGTCGGAGCTGCTGCTTTGGGCAGTAGATGGATGATAAGAGCATGGGAAGCATTCAAAAATCGTCCTGCAGTTCCTCGTGCTCGAAGATTTTATCCTGGTGGATTTGAAATGGTCATGACAAGGCGAGAAGCTGCGTTGATTCTTGGAGTGAGGTAAATATTTTAAATCTGTTCTTGTTCACGCATTTCATTGTTTCTTGTTCGGGATTTTGCTCGACTTACTTTTTGAGTCTAGGAAATATCTTATCGATGATTTTCATCTCTAATATACGATCTTGTTAACAGAGAGCATGCCGTAATGGAGAAGATCAAGGAGGCTCATCGGAGAGTGATGGTGGCAAACCATCCTGATGCTGGCGGTAGCCATTATCTTGCTTCTAAGGTTAACGAAGCTAAGGACGTTTTATTGCGAAAAACGAAGTCACCTGGGTCTGCATTCTGATTGAACCATTAAGAAATTGATGCACTCAGTGAATTTCTCTCTATCTGTACATAGCATTCAGTAGTCACATTTTGGAGCCATGGCTCGAGTGTAATGGGACATTGTCCAGTGAATTCGTTGTACTCGTATATACAAGCAAATTAGTTTGTTTGAGCTGTTTTTGTGTTGGACTAATTAATAAAATAATTGAGTACTGTTGGAATGAATTTTGTTGCTATTCTAATTCATTAAAATTTGAGTGATAGATGCTATTTGCAGAATCTAATAAATTTCAGGAATATTAATATTGATCTAACTTGAATAAAATTGCAAATTTAGCCTCGTTTGATGGGGTAAATGTTGATAAAAATTAATGAAATGTATGGTTGAAAAGTTGTGAATTTTATAAAATATGTGATTAAATTAGTTGTTAGACTTTAGCGTAGGATTTTTAATAATTTCTCTTTGATATTTTAATTATTATTCAGTCTTGTTATTTTTATTTTTAATTTTTAAGGTGGTCAGGCTACATAGGAAAACAGAAGAAAAAAAAGAAGAAGATGCTATTCTGTAACTGAACTGGAGCTTAAGTGGAGGATCCTTCGTCATCTTCAATCCTGCTCCTGCATCATTTCCTATACAATCGATCATCAATAGCAAGAATAATTCAATCAAATTAATCCCAAAACACGAAATCATAAGCTCCTCGTACTCTTTTTTCGAGACAGCAAATTGCTTAACTAAATCGAACACTGGAATGGAAGCTGTCCCCAAACCTCAAAAACTCACATTGGAATTCCTTACAAAGAAGCCTTACGCGACCCCTTCATGGGCCTCTCGCCTTAATCCTATTCCTTCTAAAGTCTTTTCACTTGGCCATGTACGTATATTTGTAGATGTTGATGTTAATTGTTGAATTTTTTGCTTAATTTGAGTGACTGAACTTTTTATTTCCTGGTTTTTTTAATAGTTTTCACTCCTAGCACAAGGGGAACCTCCCTAACTTGCCCAAGGGAACGGAGGTTTATCCCAAGGTATAGAAATGTCACTCACTTCTGGAATTACTAGCTGAAATTTGAAATCATCATATTATGTCATATTATTTTGTGAAAAGAGATTTGCTTCATAGTTTGTGCATTTTATGCAGAGTTTAGGGACTTCGAAAACTGCAGGTTTCCAGGCATTTCACTTTTGAAAAATATAGAGAAATAAAAAAACTGTAATGGGAGCAAGAGTTCAAACATGAATAGGGAAATAATTTTGATGAACATGGCTCAGTGAACTTGGTTCTTAAAGTTCTCATATTAGTTTGAGTGTGTAATCACATAAGCTAACTTCTGGCCTATGTGCTTGGATTGTCTGCCATTAGTTAAAAATTTCACAATTCTACTTTTTTGAGTAGTGTCCACCTATTGGATTGTCATCTTGAACTAAAGTAAACCAGTCTACTAAAGTATTTAAGATTTTCCTGAATGACCTACAGCCTACATGTTCTGAACTACTAGTTCCAAACTGAACAGATTCTGAGCACAGACTTGCTCATGATTTGACGTACCGTAGAGAATTTTGAGATGTGTGCAAGATCTATATAAGAAAGTGGAGTGAATATTTTTCTGCTCTACATTTCAGAATCAGATTAACTTGAACATTTAACACCTGCTTTAGGATGCAACTAACTGTTTCAAATAATTTACTCACTGCTGGATTATGCATATACCAGAACGTTGTCCAATGTACAGTTTTAGATTATTGTTAACACTAGCTGTTCTAAGATCAAGCAGTGGAGTGGTTGACTGTGGTTTTTGGTGTCTCTCTAGAACATTATATTCCATGCAGTTTTAGATATTAAGAACATGTTTTGCTGTAAGATCCGGCAATGGATCAGTTTGATTATTTTTGGTGTATTTTATACAAGAATATGTAATCTAATTCTTGAACTGTCTGGTTGGTTTGTCATAATCTGTACTCTGATGAGGGAATTTGCATTTCACAGCATGATGATCTTTCAGGAATGCAATTGAGTGGTAACAAGGTCAGGATACTTGAATTCTTGTTGGCGCTGGCAGATTGCCGTGGCACAAGGGTCAGATTGTAACATAACTATTGGAGGGATACAAAGTAATCACTGCCAAGTCACTGCTGTGGCCTCAAAATATTTGAACCTTGACTATTATCTTGTGTTGACCCCAAAAAATGTTGCCAACAGATGCCGGGCCCACTCGTGCATACGTAAGCTTAATCCAACACACTAATGCCGATTAACGGTCATGAAAACTCCAGAGAATGAGCGTGGGAGTAGCACAAAGGCAC